AAAAAAAAAAAAAAAAAAAAAAAAAACATGTTTCCAATTAAACCTTTTAGGAGATCCCTTTTGATTAATTTACCCCTTCTCATGGCAGTTCATATGCATCAATAATGTTTTCAATATTCAAGCAAACTCAACACCATTCAAGCTAACTCAAGGTCTAGTCATTCCTTGTGGCCGGTGGATCCTTTTAAAATCTTGTAGAAACAAGAAAGTGAACGGTGTAGGGAGGAAACGTCTAAGAAAATTTTCCTTTGTATGTTGTGGTTTTTGTTCTAGCTCCCCTGAGGGGTTTAGGAGCAGGGCTTTCAAGTCCGATCCTGAAAATCTCTACATGCTCACCAAAAACACTTTCAGAGAATCGCTTGCATTATCTGATGTTCTTTCCTACTTATGAATTTTCTTTTTGGTATATGCTACAATATTTTGCCTCCAACAACCCTATATTTTCGGTATTTTGCTGTTCTATTTTAACTGAAACAATATTTTCAATACAGCTTTTCGATTCCAACTAAATTTTTTCACTAGCCAAAGCAAATTACATGCAGATGTGTTTTCTTCTTTTATTTGTAATCTTCTTGAACTTTTTTGTTCCTTTTATTTATTGATTTGGATAAGAATAAATTTTTGTAATTCGATCTGCATTTTCCTAATCCGTGATGCATACATTTTTAGTTTTACGTTTTCGTTTGGATTGATTTAACATTAGTTGAAAAAGAAATCAACAAGAAAGATTATTCTTCTTTTGCTTTACTTCTTCGTGTGAGAACAGAATAAACAACATAAATCAACGAAATAAAATGAAAAACAAAACAAAAATCAAAACCTTGGGGATCTACAAAATGAGCGGCGCTAGATGTGAGGAGGATGCGATCTCACGAACGACGCAGGTAAGGGGCTGAACCACCGATTCTGTTTCTGAGAAGAAGAAAAAAAAAAACAACAGAGATAAGCAACTGATTGCTCGAGAGGCGAGAGAGTGTGACAGGGAGGAGGAGGCGGCGGCGGCGACTTCGTCAGAAGGTTGAGACTGCGTTGTGAAGGAGCGGGGTGCAGTGGCTGGAAATGGGAGGGAGGGGAGGGAGGTTTGCCTAAACGTGAAATGAAATAGGGTTTTAGAAAAATAAAAAATAAAAAATAAAAAATAAAAAATAATCCACGATGATTTAAGAATAAAATAAATAAATAAATAAATAAGGACAGCTGAGTGCTACGTAAATATAATTAGTTTTTTTAGGTTAATGTGGCTAATAATTATTGTTTTTATTTTTAAAATTAAATTATACATAAAACCTCTAAAATTATAATTATTATCTATCAACACAATTTGTCTAAACGTACAAATTGTGCGTAAGAATGCAATTTTAAATTTAGAGTGACTATAGTTAAAGAATTAAAATTAATTAGAGAATCAGTTAATACTTAAGATAAAATATGTAACTATAAGAGTAAAATGAAGTTTTTACCTGACTGTAATTGGGAACGACTCATGAATGATTGAGTATTTGTAATGATTAATCAATAGACAGAACTTATTTTAAAGTGACGATAGAGCAACTCTGAGTTTATAGTAAAACAACCCAAATTGATTAATTAAATAATTTAAATAATTAATTTTATATCTTATAATTATAAGATTTTCTTGCTAGCTCGTAATAATATTTCATATATTAAAGTTAAGAAATAAAATAGATTAAATTTTAAATTTTAAACCATGTAATTAAATATATTAAATTTAAAATTTTCAAATTAATATTTAATATATTATAAATGAAAAAAAAAAGTTAAATTAATATTTAATATATTAGATAGGTTGAAAAGAGAAAAATATATTTATTGTATTTGATATATTAAATATTAAAATAATTAATGTATATTATATACTACCAAAAATGTATTTCGATATTTTATAACATTTAAATATTTTTTGAATAATATATTATTTGATAAAGATTCTCCAAAAGTGATTACAAGATTATCGGGATGAGTAATCTCTCATTTGAAGATTTTTTTTGAAACTCTCGTTCTTCAATATTTTCGGGATTTTTCTTTCAAGAAGCTCACACATTTTCGATTTTCTTTCATCACAATTTCTCTTTTGAAACTCTCATCCTCCAATTCTTTCCCGATTTTCTTTCGAGAAGCTCCCACCTTTTGAATTTTCTTTCGAAGAGTTCCACAAGCTTTGTACTTTTGTTTGAGTCATAACAAATAATATATTGTGAAATGTAGAACTTTTGCTTTGTTGGAATATATTAAGGAGCTTCGCAAGTTCGGTTCTACAAATGTAAGTTTCTATGACAATGTGTAAAGATATTAGAGATTTTTCCCGTAACCTCCGTAACTAAATATAAATATATCTCTATCTTTAAAACTACGACCCAAAACAATTTACTATATTTATATTTTATATGTACAAATTTATTTCTTTATCTTCTTTTTAATTATTTAGCAATAAATAATTTTTGAAGTACCAAAGACTTATAATATTATCAAATTTATGACGATGTTTTACATTTTTAATAAAAATTATATTGAAAAATAAAAATTATTTGATTTTTTTTTTCCTTCTTGTAATAATTCGAACCTTACAAGTTTCTACAAAAATACAGAATCGAGATAGGCTTACCCATCCAAATTACGTGTGTTTACATTTTTCAACTCAATCGTATTTATAATATTTATAGTATTCAACATTTTTCAAGCACAACTATTTCCGAACAATTATTATCATGTAAGAGCACTAGCATTTCAATTGGCTTATAGTGATTACCAAAAAGGCCATGAATCGTCATATTAAAATTCTTGTACTTGAATCAAGTTTGAGATTAATGTCTCACATTCGAATACTCCTACTCACTCTCATGCCTCTATAAACCAACTTGACTCAAGTATAGCTTGGTTAAATGAGATTAATGTCTCAACCTATAAACACTCCTACTCACTCTGATGCCTCTACCGACCAACTTGACTCGAGCATGGCTTGGCTAAGGCATGCACGGACGTTTCAACCTAAACCAAAGAGCAAAAAATTTGAACCCCACCCCACATATGGAAACCAAAAAGATCTCACTAGAGTCAAATTATATATATATATATGAGCAGATAAGCTGAGTTCATAAAGCTAACGTCAGATAAGAACTTCCAATAGAAAATTAATGACCAAGACAACAACTTTATGGTAATTGGACCGATTAGGATGTTGGATTACAAAGTGTAATAAACTCAGCACATACTTCTCTCACTGAAACATTTTGTTATATGAAAAGAAATCTTCCAAAGGCCCTTCCAAATAGTTCAAACTTAAAGAGTACAATGGATTCTTACGTAATTTATTGTTTTTGCTTCTTATCCAAACTAACCTGCAGGAGGAGTTTCATGTTGTTCGCAGTAGCAACACTTTGTTGCCCAAATCAAACTCCAGAACGGAAAGCTCTATGGAAATGATACCCTGCCAGCTCTCATGGAATGCTGGTTTGCTCGAAGTTACAGCCCGCTGTTGTACCAAGCAATCAACAAGTTTGTCCTGTCGTGCAATCATGGCAGAAATGGAAAATGGCCCTCTCATTTAGTTCTAACAAAGCTTCTTTCGGATGTCACTGAAGGTTGCCCAGAATATTCAAAGCCTTCATCCGTTGGATCTCTTTCCCTGAAGAACATAAACCTGTTAGCTACCTGTTCAATCCAAGTCACAACATTGGTTGCATGTTGCAAGCACAAGCGAGAACAATCGAACATTATTCTTGTTAAGAATGAAAAGCTCTGATACCATGTTAAGAATGATGCTCTGATAGCATGTTAAGAATGAGAAACATAATGGAATTGAAAGTCCAAGAAACAGAAGTGGGATAAAAAGTGACAGAGATCAGAACAAAAGATGATTGTCCCTGATTCACCGCAAATCATCAATATTTTTCCTCTCAACAATAAAAATCCTAACTGATTACGGCTATATAAAATATATTCTAATACTCCCCCTCAAGTTGGAGAGTGTAGTCAATAACACCCAACTTGCTTATTTCCAATAATTCTAAGAGACATTCTAAGAAGAAAACCAACATAATAATCTGGTCTCTTGGGTTTTGGAAGATTAAAAGTGACGTTAAAGGAAGTCTACTGAAAGAAGTTTGAAGTGACGTTAAAGAGATATTTGAAAGAAGATTAAAGAGATATTTAAAGGAAGTTTGAAGATTAAAAGTGACGTTAAAGAGATATTTGAAAGAAGTTTGAAGCAATTTTACCTTCTTCTACTGACAGATGCATGGATTTCTTTTCCAGATTAATGGCAAGTCTGCTGAGCTCAGAGGGAGGTAAACCATGGAGCACTATAAAGCGAGACAAAGAGGAGCATTCTTAGCAGTGTCGAACTTAAATACTGAAAGTGAGCTACAGTGATTATTCAACACAACTTACACTCGATAAAGCCTTTTTGATCCGACTCGTCACAATGTTTTAGGAGATTCTGAAGATTGAATAAACGCTCTGTTCTCTGCTCATCAGTAATCCCATTTGAATCAACAGAGTGAAGAATCTCCAAACCAGGATGGATTCCCAGAAGATTGGATCCAGCAACTGCTAGAAAATTACCAGGCTTTTCTGTGAAAATGGGAAGTGAAGACCTAACAGGTGAAAACGCCATCGGAGAAGCTGCAAGAGAAGAAAATGCGGGTGCACAAGATGTGCTACCTCCCAATGCTCTTTTTTTGCCAGGCTTCACATCAACTTCTCCGTTGGCATAAATGATATGCTCATTTACCCCAATCCCCTTGAAGGATTGATGGATTGCAGAGCTCGGTGAGCATGTCGGGTTGGATCTCTTACTTCCTGAAACCTTACTCCCATTCACAAGTTTGCCGCCCAAAGAACAGGAAGTTTCAGGATAGTTATACACGACACTCCTATTATCATTCTGCACATCTCTTAAAGCAACCTTTTTCATTGCAATTGGAGACTGCTTGCTCTTATACATAGACAAATGAGTTTCGCAGCTACCCATCCCACCGCTGTTCAACTTGCTATCAATCATTTAGAACACTTGAAGAGCTTCAACCAAATAACGATTTCAAATTATCTCCTAGAAAGCCAAGAGAGCCAATCAAAATCTCCACCCAAGAGAACCATATCGTTATTTCACACAACCACACCAACAATCAAGTAAAAGGATAATCACACATTAAAGTTGAATGCTAGCTAGCTTATACTGCAATGCTTGAAAATCAGACCACAGATACCGCAAGACAATCAAGTACATAAATCAAGAAGTCGATAAGTGAAGTGCGTTTAAATATTTTCCATGACAATCAGCAATTTCCTTAAACTGGTATCGAGTACAGAATTATTTTTCAGATAAATACAAACTTGAAGTTAAAACTATCTTATACAGCAAAAAAATTGATCAAATTGTATACATCAAATGCCTGAATAATATATATCTTCCATGATGTTTACAACCCCTTTCCAAGCTCTTACCTTCAAGTTTCAACTACCTTAAAGTACCAACCTCTACTTCGCTAAATTACAAAGTTTAACTCCACAATAATATGCAACACAATGTTCATCAAGTATCCATTTACCTATATTAGCATAACACTTAATATCAAACTTGCACGATGGCACATTATGAAACAAAAGAGTGTTGGTTTAAATTTTGTTTGTTTCGATTTTCATGCTTATTCCATTTTGATTCTTAAACATTCAAACATTTTACTTTAGTTCTACAGCCTTGTGCAAAAAATCTTACTGGTGCTTGCTACTAATTTCTTTCAATAAAATATTTAATATAAAAAAACTAGAGAGAAAAAGAAATAAACATCTGATCATTAACTTCATGAGTAAATGCCTACATAAAAAATTGGTTGCACCACATAGTAGGTCAAGCACCAGATTTCAAAACGGATCCAGAACTTTGTTAAATGATAAAGGACAGAAAACAATTTTCGATGCAAAATTTAAGAACAATTGAACACTGACAAACTAAGAGAGAACGTCTGAAAAATTAGGTGCCAAAACTAAATAAGCATGAAAGATTACGGACGAAAATAGGATTTAAACCACAAACGTTTCATCTGGCTAAAT